TTGGAATAAGGAACCCGCGAAGTAATGTAGGTATTATTTAGGGCCTTATACATACATATATATATATCTATATATGTTAGACATTGGGCTTTGGAGTTTGTACGGGGTATTATAGCGGCTTGCAGGACTTGACGATAGGGGACTGAAGACTTGGAACGGGTTTGGGGTTTAGGGCCTCGTGCGTAAGTACATAGTTTCTCGCGGGGCTGCAACAATCAATCTTTAAATTCTTCAAACCGCTAGGTAGTTCCGTTCTGATCGACTAATTTCATCTTGTAGGATCCTGGCCATAAAACCGGTAAAAGCGAAAACACGAACCACAATGGAGCTACGGGTCCGCCAGCCGCCGAGACCGACATCCTCAACCCCGAACCACAAAGTCAAAACCCTAAACCCTAAACCCTGAACCCTAAACCCTAATTTGGCATAAAGGGTTTAGGATAATCATATTCCAACTTTGTGGCTTTTACCTTAGACAATGGGATTGCAAAAGCCTCTGAGCCGTGCACGACCACCAAGTCAAATCCCAAAGCCCCAACCTCACCTTAGAGCTCCTAAACCCCTAGAGCCGCAACAAGTAGCTCTAACACCTCAATTTAGAGGTCTGATTGATTGTTCAATCAGCAATCTTCATCCCTGTTGGTCCTCTAGCATGTTTGCTTCCCAAACCCCAGTCTCGATACTTTCGGGGCTTGTTCTTAGCATTTTTTCCCACGGGACATTATGACACATAAGTCTGCGACGACCCGAAGGGGATACGATGACTCATTCTTCAGACCTCTGTGCTTGTCCAAAATGCCCTTTCAAGGGGGCCTCTCTTTTGCCGAAGGAAGCAAAAAGCCTCTACTTCGGGGTGGGGTTGGCTTAGGGCCTGCACTGGGCCAAACAAAATCTCGGCTCCGATAATGTAACCCAGCCCGAAACCCGACATTGTCAAGCTCGTGCTGCCGAGGGCTTCACTTGCTAACGACCCAGAGCTCTGCACCCCGTAATCCTCAACCCTAATCCCATATGGGAGTCCCATATGGGAGTTTCCGAAAATTAGGGGTACCTTATTCTGGGGTCCCTATAATGCGGATCCTACTATATTAGGATTTCCTATTTTCGGAAATTCCCATATTCCGTTACAAAAAAGCACTCGAAACTCTAAGCCACATGCCCGCAACCCCTGCAGCCTCAGTTGTTTACAGAGACCTGAACTGAGAGCCCGGGAGACCTCCACTGAGAGCCCTGGCCGACTCCAGGGCAAGCCAACAGCGTGCGCGAACTGGGCCGGTTTTGTATGCACATGGCAGCCCAATACCTCTTCACTTACCTCTGCAGTGTTCCTGAGGAGTAGTAAGAAATTATCGAATTTCCGAAAATGGGGGACCCGAATATAGTACCCTGAATAGTAGGATCCTTATAATAAGGACCCCAAAAGAAGGTTTTTGTCGCTCTTTTCTATGTTACTCATGCCAGGAAATGGCAGGTTTGGGGCTCTGTGGGGTTTGCGAATTTGCGGCCTGGGTAAGTGTGGCTTCAGGTGCCCCGAGCCCCTCTCCACTGCACCAAACAAGCAATGCGATTTAGGGTTAGGGTATAGGGTTTGGGTTAGGTCATTTAGGGTTCGGGTACAACGGTAACAACCACCACCGCAACCACCACAACAACAACCAGAACCAGGACCAGAAAAAGAACGACGGATCTCCCCATTGGCCACTATGACGACCACAACCACAACAGCTCCTCTCATCTACTACCGCCAACAATGACAGCAACCAGGAATGCCAGTCCAACAGTCAACGACGAAGACCACGATCATGGTCATAATTATTCGCTGAGGTCGCGTCGTCTGATATTTTTGCTATTGTAGGATTTTACGAACATGTAGCATCGGGAAAGAAAGCCGCTGTCAGGACCCAGGATTCAAACATCGCTTTGGCGCGTTGAATAGACAACCGTCTGTAAAATATCATGCATACTTTACTGGCAGTAGTAGACATGAGCCTTCACATAGAGGTACTGTGTTACTCGAACAAAGCCGCATATTTCCCTGCGCAGAAGGAGCAACTGAAACACAGACTTGTCTCTGAACCCCGACACCAAACCCCCAGTACTGGAGTGTGAGTATTTACACTCGCATTTCAGGAGATTCTGCACTAAATAAAACCATTTCTCAGTACTTGTTCAGGTCTCTTGATACCCCCCAGGGTCCTAAGTACCTGTTGGTGGAAGATCCGGCTTCGAAACTAGAAATCACAGGTATGATTTGGAAAAATGTCCCCTATAATGGTGCCCAGGACCCCTTTGCGATATGGGAGTTTTCGAAAATGGGGGGACCCGAATACAGCACACTGAATAGTAGGATCCTTATCATAATCACCACCAAAATAAGGTACCCCTAATTCTCGGAAACCCCCAAACCTAAACCCTTTATAGAACCCTTATACATCCCTTTAAGCAACCCTTATAGATCCCTTTAAATGTACCCCTAATTTTCGGAAACCCCCATATGGCCCAAAATACAGTGAAGCTTGTGGTCACTCCGGGGCCACCACGGATCAGCAGCTCCTGCTTGGGACCGGGCGAAGCTGGAGGGCGACGTAGTACAATATACGATACAAAATGATACAGTAGGTGATGACACATCCACTGTAACAAAAGCTTGTTAATGAGGCAAAGCAAGCAAAGCAGGGTAGGAGGGGGCAGGGAAGGGCAGGGCAGGGCAGGGCAGGGCAGGACAGCAGGGCAGCAAGGCAGGAAGGGCAGGGCAGGGCGGGGCAGGGCAGCTCTGTCGGAGGGGGCGCAGAATGACGGGCTTCGGGATGCGGTGGTACACGTTTTTTGTCCTTTGCTGGTTCCGAGGACAACTCCGGGCCACACATGGGTGCTACCAAGTCTGTGGAGTGTGGAGAGGCGGGCAGGCAGATTGGGTCGCTCTGCGCCAGCGAGGTCGAGGGACTTAAGCGCCGCCCCTGTTGAAAAAACCCTAAACTCTAAACCTTTCGCGTACGGTCCGCACAACTCTCTCCTACCAGCCAGGCACAAGTAAAGCTCATGCTTTGGTGCGTGGACCCGCTCCTGAAACTCGTGGCCCAAAGCACCCAGATGGACGGTACAAAGCTGGCGAACAAGGAGATTCACTTCACGTAGGGGTTGAGGTATGCAGAAAAATCCCAATACAAAGCTCTCAGAATACACACTCAACATTCCTAAAGAGCCCTGGATGTCGAATCTCTGGCAAGGCTTTTGATGTTTGTGAGGTATAGGGCAGAGTTCACCATCCAAGCAGATGTTCCAACTAGTCAAGGGCAGTTGTGCAGCTTCAGCAAAGTTGGGACTGCCACTCCGCCTAGACTTAGACCCTAGAATGTACTACCTTTAGGATTTGTACAAACTATTTTGTTAGAGCCCTACAATAAGAAACCAAGGAAACCCCAGCAGGCACGTACAACATTATGAGGGCTAGGTAGGCCGATCATCTTTACCAGAGCTGACTTTCCGAGGGCTCCCAAAGCGCCTCCATGTTGCAAACCTTTGCGATACAAACTGCTAAACCCCAAACCCTAAAGCCTAAGCTAAACCCTTAACCCTGAACCCTTTCCTAAACCCTTAACCCTTAACTAAACTCTAAACCCTAAACTAAACCCTAAACCTTGATAGTGTGGAATGCAGAATGCAGGTGTAGCGGGGACCTACGACCCAAGACTTCCATATGAAAGGAGATCACTGCTCTTGAAATCATTCCTGTAACTGAAATTGCTACGATTACTATTACTATGACTATGACGACGAACATTCTTATTGCTAGTAAGGCGGCTGGTTACTAGTTTGCTGTAAAGTGATTTCACCAAAGATTCAAGGCATTTCTGTGCTTCGGTGCTGAGATTGTGTTTCGGATTCCGAGTTAAGGGTTTGAGCCCCAGGCTCAGGCTTCAGGGTTGAGGGCTTGTCCGATGCAGCACAACCTTTGCGTCGAAATACAGTAGAAGCCAGAAAGTTGGAACATGAGTTTAGGAGGATTAGTGCTAGGATTCCCTTATCCTTTACCTTAAGGGCATGAGGATACTAATGTTCCAACTTTCTGGCTTCCACCTTACTTCCTTGAAACCCTAGGCAAGAAAAACAAACCCCCACCCCGTGCAAACCCTAAACACTACACCCAACCACTTTATATTCAAACCGCTGTGCAAAGGACGAAGTCAGGGACCTACAAGCATGCTAAATCCACAGTTGTAATCCTACCATGCTTACAACTTCCAACAACAGGGCTGATTTTCTGCCGACTCCAGTTCACGATATCCGGAGTCCTATGCAAACCGTTCAACTTAGGCAGCAGTTACATGCTAGGCTCAATCCCAAAACTTGACCCCAACACCCAACCACAAACAAAAAAAACCTCATTCAATCCTGCACCCTAGCGCACTAAACTTACTTTTGGTTAGTAGGGAACGGAGGAATGGTAGCAATAGTAGTTATGGTTGTACCCCATTCCTCCATTCCCTACTCACCAAAGGTAAGTAAAACGGTGACCGAAGATCTGGCTGCTGCGGCCCCAACCCGCTCATTCGGCACCATTTGCTCATCCGGTACCTGCTCCGGGGCATATCCGGTCGTACAGATATGAGATGAGGTTCAAAAGGAGGGGTTTGATGGGTCTTTATGAGGCTTTAGAGCCAAAGCCTGAGGCCTCCGTCTCACACTTTTGACCGATTTCTTGTCGCAGGGAGCTCAGACACCTCATAAGCATACTAACTATCTCCACTACATCTCTTAAAACGCAGAGGGATCCTTCGAAACTGTCCACCACCTGTGACAACCACGAGATCAGCGGTACAATGCAAGGTCCAAATATACTGTGCTGACAGTTTGTCCATCAACATCTTCATTGTAATCATAGTCATCAAGATAACAGTGGGCATCCTCATCCTCTGAACTTGAGGTGCCGCGATATCTGCGATATCAGCGAGCGTGACCGAGTGCGGTACATGATACGTTGCTGCTTATCGAATACGGACTTACGTACCAGCGTGCAAGAAAGCAGCGGACCGAGCCTGTCGCTTCTCGTTCCTGCTGCCATGCTTCCTCGTATCGTGCACAGGCTGGCTATGCTTGAATTGATAGGACTCGGTCCTGGAGTGTTAGCTCCAGGCTGCAGTTCCTTACGGGTTTACGGCGTGTGGACCTTGAAGTAACTGTCAAAATCAAAGGGTCTTCGACCGGCCAGAACCATAGTCAGCTTAATGAACAGAAACGAATTCCTAAGGGTTCGGTGGCGTAGTCTTAGCATAATGTTTCCAGACATTCGATTGTAATGACTAAGTCCCCTCCGGTATCCTCAGCAGGTGATCAGCACCGCCACAACCAGTCGTCGTCATCATCAGCATCATCGTCGTCGTTATCATCATCATGATCCTCATCATGAACATCATTCTCATCACCCTCACAATAATAATACTCATCATCGTCATCATCATCATCACCATCATCGTCATCATCATCATCATCACCATCGCAATCGCCATCACCACCACCATCATCGTCATCATAATCATCATCATCCTCGTTATCATCACCGGCATGATCCTCTTGGGTCGATCACGCCCATCGTCTTTCACTATCGTGGTCATGATGACGATGATGATCCTCAGCATCACAATCATCGACATCGTCGACATAATCGCACAAATCATCGCCATCGACGCCATCATCATCGAAACATCACCATCAGAATCATGAGCATCACCATCATCATGAAACCACCCAAATCCCTAAACCTCAAAATCGAAAATCTTCTAATCCCTGAACCCGAAACCCAAACTGGTACCCTTACTGTAAAGGGAGCCCACAACGCTAAACCTCAACCCCTACAATGGCCCTATAACCCCTATAACCCCTGCCCTAACTCCCAAACCCTAAACCCCTAAATCCCTAAACCCATAAGTCCCTAAAGCCCTACACCCTAAGCCCCTAACTCCTAAACCCCTAGTTCCTAAATCCCAGACCCTAAACCCATAAATCCTTCAACCCCTCATAGATCCCCAGACCCGAAGCCCATGGCCCCGGCTGGCGCCCACGAAAGTCTGGACACTCAAGGAGACGAAGGAAGCGAACCTGGCTCGGTTTAGGGTTTAGGGTTTAGGGTTTAGGGTTAAGGGACTGAAATGGGATCTATAAGGGTGCCTTTACGGGTTTGGGGACTTAATTTAAGTTACCACATGGTACCTCAAATTAAATCCCTTAACAAGAACCTGGCTCCAGGGGATTCAAAACTCCGAACCTCAAGGCTTTAGGGGTTCCGGGGGTTTAGGGTTTAGTGATTGAGGTTTTAGGAAATCCCTAAACCACCTAAACCCTGCAAACCCCACACCCCAAAGCATCGAGCTGGCTGGCAGGAAAGTCAAGTTCAGTTGGGCGCGGTCCTTGAAATCATGGCTTGCGGGCTGCAAAGGGCTTCAGCGTCGGAAAGGGTGTAAGGTTTGGAAATTTGAGGCTGTTTCGTGCTTTCGGGATACAATTCCGACAAACCCAAACCCTAAACCACCCGAGCGGAATGCATGAAGAACTGGAGAAATCTCTGTCGGGCACCAGCCCTTGGCCCTCACAGCTCACGAACAAGCCGGAATGCCTCTTCCACTTTCCGAAAGCATCTTTGACAAGTGTACTAAACCCAAAACGCCGAACCCAAATCCCAAGCTCTTTTTCCCACCCTTAAACCCTGAGCCCTAAACTTACCTTTGGTTAGTAGGGAATGGAGGAATGGGGTACAAATATAACTGCTATTACTACCATTCTTCCATTCCCTACTAACCAAAGGTAAGTAAACCCCCACACCCTGAAACCCTGAGCCCACACCCTACTCTAAACCCTAAACCCTAAACCCTGAGCCCTAAACCCCCACACCATGAAACCCGAAGTCGTGCAACCGGGACCTTGCTGGTGCCAGCTTCGTCGGCGGCTGTGGCCACGCCTTCCCAGACCTCGTGCTCACATCGTTCCTAGTTCATGGTTGGGATAGGTTTATTCCTTGTTGGGTTTCAGTACCCATAAACATGTAAAATGTTACCCAACTATGACAAAGTTTTATCGTCACGACACGACCCAACAGCCCCATAAAGCTCAAAAGCCCGAAGTTGAAACCAAGACCAGGCACCTAAATCATGCCGGAAACCGAAACTCTTGCCCCAAAGCCGCGCGGTTACAGAATTTGAATAGCGTTTTGCAGTTTACTCTACTGCAATTATGTAGGGATTATACGGACTCGTATAGCACGCCTAATTCTTCCCCATGACTCGGAACCTGATAGCGTTATTCTGATGATAAGAAAGACTCGATGACGATGGTAATGATGATGATGATCCTAAACCCTATAAACCCTAAACCCTAATCTGATGATGATGATGATCCTAAACCCTATAAGCCCTAAACCCTAATCTGATGATGATGATGATCCTAAACCCTATAAGCCCTAAACCCTAATCTGATGATGATGATGATCCTAAACCCTATAAGCCCCAAACCCTAATCTGATGATGATGATGATCCTAAACCCTATAAGCCCTAAACCCTAATCTGATGATGATGATCCATGATCCCAAAACCGTGAGCCCAGAACCCCGAAACTTAAGCCAACCACTGGGCTCCAGAGATCCGACTCCCAACCTTCGAAAAGCCTGGAGATACTGTTGATGATACAAATCCTAGGGTTCCTTTAAAGGGATCTATAGGGTACCTTTAAGGGGCTCCTTTAAGGGATCTATAGGGGTTTAGGGTTTAGGATACAAATCCTGCATTACCTTTAGGACCCTAAACTATGGGAATTGTGGTGCATTCCTTACTATGGGTAATGCAGGATTTATATCATCACCCGTAGCTGAGTCCGGCGCTTCCTGCCCCCTGGGCCAGGAATGGTGGTGTTAAGTACCATCGGGTTCAGGAGTTTGGGCTTTTACAGCCTTGCAGGGTTTCGGGCTTTCACAGGATCTGGAGGCTTGCTGGCTTTTCGGGTTTGGGGGGGTTCTGATCATGCTGCAATGCTAGTTCGACAAGACATTCCTGTGACCGGGCCAACATCTCCTTGCTTCGCTTCCAAGACCCCTACATCAAAGTCAAAAAATATTCTCGGACGTTTATAGTACCTTATGTTATGGTAACCTGATATAATTATGGTACGCTTGACATATTCCATACAGTGCTACGGAGATGCTGCTGCCGCCCGCCCTAAAACCAAAGCGATACCAAACCTGGAGGCAAGGAACCACGAACACTCATAGAGGTGCTATGATTTCAGGTTTCCATAACATAAGGGTAATATAAAAGCACGAGAGCATGTTTCCACGAAGCGTGAACACGACCCGGCTTTTACCAAACTCCAAAGTCCACTGATCTACCAGAAATCCATACCTTGTCCCGGGAGCACCTGAGGACCATGACCTCCTGTTCCACCGCGCCGTCCTCTTAGGTTTAGGCCTTTAGGCTTTAGGGCTTAGCGGTTTAAGGTTTATGATAGGGAGCCTTGAGCACATGCAGAAAGGACTGTTGTGGCGTGTGTGGTGCAGCACGGCTTAAGGATCTACGGCAGTGTGAACCGGATACTGGAGTTTTCTACAGCAATCAGGTTTAGGGATTTGGGGATTAAGGATCTGGGGCCTAGTTCGAGATGTCGAACCTCAGGTGTATACAACATCGATGTTGCGTTTTTTGGGCTTTAGAAGGGTTTTGTAGGATCAAGGAATATTAGTAGTTGGGGTAGGGGGAATGCAAGAATCAAGCCCGAACAAAAACTAGGTACCATTTGCATCGTCGAAGCTTTACGGAAACTCAACAAGACTCCAAAACAGACCTCACCTCACAGCTGTGCAGGTCTGGATTGCTGAAAACTCATAGCAGCCTCCGCCAGCAGGAAAAGATCAAACCGCTGAAGAATCCCATTCCTAGTCAATAGACGCGAAACCCTCGAAACCCCTACATGCCCAAACTCCAAAGCATTAACGTCACAAGCATACCCAGAGGCCCCATAGTAGTTCCTTTTTGGGATTACCCTATAGGATTCCATAAACCCTAAACCCTAAACCCCCAAAAAGGAGCTACTTTGGGGCCTTAGGGTTTAAACAGCATCGGCCCCGTCCAGTTGCAGCGCAAGGTGTCGAAGCGCAGCGGAGGCAAACTCAGCGGCCGCAGCCGCCTTTGGCTAAAGGGCTTTGGGTTTAGGGTTTAGGGTTCTTTGAATGAGGGTTCGTTGATTGGTTTAAGGGGCTTTTAATGAGGGTTTACTGATTGGTTTAAAGGGCTTTTAATGAGGGTTTACTGATTGGTTTTAAGGGCTTTGAATGAGGGTTTAGTGATTGGTATGGGATTTTACTAGTGGCTCACGGCCTCAGGGTTTATGTTGGCGGTTAGGTAAGGCGCAAGGTCTTCGGAAATCCCGACTTTGCCACTACTATCCTGTCAGGGCCTAATCCAAGACAGGGGGTAAGCGCGTTCACAAGTCGTTTATGACCGGCTGTGTTTTACACAGGCCCTTTCCCTCCAAGGACCTCATAGTTAGGGCCCTCGACCCCTTAAGGACCCCATAATCAGGTCCCTGGAGGCATAGAGAGGGTCAGAGGGCTTGTTGGGGATTTCCGGCTTCGTGGTCCCCGGGCTTCGGCGACCGTGGGTCCCACATGACGGCCTCGAGCATTTCGACTCCTTTAAATTGGATTTAGGGTTTAGGGTTTAGGGTATCCTATTCCCTATGCAACCACTCTCAAGCTTCAGGACTGGCATATAGACCCTGAAATCTGGCAAAAAGAATTACTGCACCGAAACCGTACGGCAGAAAATCGCTAAACCTAACACCCAAAACCAAAGGCCACTTCGCGCCAGGAAGCATCCCCTATCTGCAATAGCTCTTCGGAACGCCGTCGCAAGGCCGCGGCCTTCGACACATGGGTGTGTTAGAGGTTTAGGCTTCAAGGGTTCGGGCTTCGAGTTCAAGGAGCATATCTGGTGATGAAGGGTCTTCGGAGCTTTAGTGATGTTGCTACATGAACTCTTCATGAATTAAAAGAGGGCGTGAAGGTCGTGGGAAGTGGGGGCTATGTGGCCGCTTCGCAAGCTGATTCGGTCCGAATGTGCTGTCATGTCTAGGACGTAAGCACGACATCCGAAAAGTCTACAAGCTTCGTGGGAGATACCCAGAACGGAACCCTTAAAGGAAACCCTACACCTTGAATGTGAAGGCCGCTCATCATAAAATCCCAAAACCCTAAAACCCGGAACCCTATACCGCAAACCCTGAAGAACTCATAGATACCCTGAAGCCATGAACAAACAAACGCTAGCAAAGGCACTATCATATTCCCGGAGGTCGCCAAACGGCGGGCCTCCTCTTCAAACCCCCATGTAGCAATCAGTACTATATTATGACTATTGTTACTGCTATTATTATTGATGATGATATTAGCAGTACTAGTAGTCGTAATGATAGTAGCAGTCGTCGTCGTCCTAGCAGCAGCAATAGCAAAAATGCTAGTACAAAACCTAGCATGAAGACCAGACTGGCTCGGGCAGGTCGCACTGCAACTCACGCTTTGAGTGGTGCCTCCTGGGCCGATAGAGGTCCTTGTATTCCATGCAGTGGCTCCTTGCCGGCGTGTGGAGTCTCACGGTTCAGGTTTCAGGGACCTAGGATTTCGTCCGCACAGCAGACGCGATACGTACCCCAAACCCTCAGTAAACCGCGAAGCCGACTCTGAGGCGTGTGGGATCGGATTTCTGGAAGCATCTACAGCCATGAGCCTGAAAGCTATAAAAACCCAGGTCGAACTTACAGCTTGCGAGGGCGACTGTACAACTTGGTCTGTGTGTGTGTGTGTGTGCGTGTGCGCATGAGCGGTGTTTACAAGATGTGTATGAAAATATGCATCCAATTATGCATGCAGGTCTGCAGTGGATACAAGCAAATTCAAATGTATGTGTAGTAAGAGGGCACAATAGCAAACCCGCCTGTATCTATGCATTTATACATTTATACACATGCATACATGTATAATCCATGTGTGTGCGAACATGTGAGAATACATAGGTTAATATGCAAGCGGATAGATGGATAGCAGCACAAGATAGCACAAGTGTACATGTCGACATCTGCATGCGCAAACATGTATGCCGTTACATGCAAAAGCACATCCGTTCATACCTTGGCGTCCGGACACGCGTGCACTCATGTATTCGTACAGTGATTCATTCTTGTCGTCAGTCACTCTCTCATGCATTCCTACACCGGTCCTACACCGACTGGGTATCCTCACATACCTGAAGCTGCAGCAGTCCTTCTAGGTTTGATTGGCCTCTTTCAAGCGTGCACTGTACGAGATCTAAAAATTTCCAGAGTATAGACACCAAGCCGAACCCCAGTGATTCTTTCCGAAAGCCTCTTAACCCCAAGTCCTCAATCCAGAAGTGTTACTTGTGACGTTGTTGTTTTTGCGATCGTCTGCTCCGTGCGAGGTCGGCAACAAAACAGCAGTAAGAAACAACAAGCGCCCACTCAAAGCTCTAGAAAGCTATTAAAGCGACTTAAGCACAATGACTACACAACCCAAACGGTCGACGTTCCCCAGCATCCCGCTCATGCCAAGAGTACTCTGTTTTCTCTTAGGCAGGTTTAATTGTTGTTTAGGGTGCACGGCAATTTTATTGTGTTGCAATATGATGTTATGCCAATTAGCTTATACGAAAATGTGTTCCGACAGGCTACCTTACCTTTTAATATCCTATGTTGACTCTACTATGTTAAACCATACTATACCGTACAAATTTCAGACTGTCAGACCCGAATACCCCCAATCCCTCCAAATCCCTGAACCCGTAAACCCCGGACCCCTCCCAGCCCTTAAACCCCTAAACCCCTGATCCCTAAACCCCTAAACCCCAAAAACAACCCTGAACCCCCAAACCCCCCCTAATCCCCTAAACCCCTAAACACCACAAAAACCTAAACCCCTAATAAACCCAGAAAAAAAACCCAACGCACTATCACTAGACCCCGTAAAACCACCCAAACGAAGAACCCTAGACCCTAAACCCCTAAACCCTCAAAAACCCTAGCCCCCCAAAAAGGAAGAAAGTGAGGCCCTTAAACCCCTAAACCCCTCCAACCCTAGCCCACAAAAAGGAAGAAAGGGACGCGGGGCGGAGCCTTGGCTTCGAAGTCCTTCGGCTCGCTAACCGCCTCAATCGGAGTGCTTCGTCATAGCCTTAACGTACCAAACCCTACTTTTTTGTAGGTTCTTATTTTAAAGCCTGATATGGAATTTTTAGGGACCCTACAAAAAAGCAGGTTCTGGTAGGTTGGAGTAGGCTATAAGGTTTGTAAGGTTTAGGGGCTTTGGGTTTAGGGTTCGTCATAAGTTATACGGTTTATAAGGTTTAGGGGCTTTGGGTTTACGGTTAAGGGATTACAGTAGGGGTGTAGGTTTGGGGATTTGGAGGAATTTGGGGTTTAAGGTTTGGGGTTTACGGGTTTAGGGTTTAAGGGGGCTTGTGCAGGGTTTTCTGGGTTTCCCTTGGGCTTCATGGGGCTTAGGGGCAATGGACTACGTGAGTCCACATGACAACCTGAAGCTTTATCGGATTTGGATCCTTGTTTGTGAGGCCTTAACAAGCTTACGGGCTACTCGAGGGATCACGGAACTTCGTAACTAAGTGATAAGGTTGCTTTGAGGGTTTGTAATAATTCCATAGGGTCGAGAGCTAAATAAATTCCACAACCATCAAGCCATTTAGGGTTTAGGGCCTAGGACTCATGAGTTGACCCTTGTCGTCAAACCCTACTTAAAGGATCATGGGACTTAGTAACTAGGGTTATAATTAGGGTAACTATACTTATAACCCAATTAAGGTACTTATAACCTTACTTACTAAGTCCCATGATCCTCCAAGTAGACCCTAAACCCTAAACCCTCTAGATCCCTTTAAGGAACCCTTTAAGGATCCCTTTTAAGAAGCCCTTTAAGGAGCCCGGATCGGGGTTTCCAACTTTTTGGCTTCTACTGCAAGCCCTGATAAGTTGAACCTCAACTTTTGCATCCAGTGGCCTCTTGGCGGACGCCAGCCTGGAAGCAAAGAGCAGCTCCGCTTTGCAGTCAGTCTTACAGGGGTCCTAGGGTTCAGAGTTTCGGAGTTTTTGGGTGTTAGGGCCTTAAGGTACAGATTTCAAACGTGCTTGGGCTTTAGGGCTTAGAGGTTCTAGGGTGTTGGGGTGCTGAGGGTGGGAGGTGCTTAAAAGAAAAGCTTAAAGCTTCGTCCAACTGAAAGGTTCGACTCGTAAGGTGCCTTCAACACGTTCCTAAACCGTTCATCATACACTTCACTCCTACATACAAGTAATACTGGGATCCTTTCAGATTGCTCCGTACATGGTGAAGATCTCTTATTCTGAACGGAATACCCCCGCGCCCGTACAGCCGCTAAGATCCCCTCTGGCTGCAGATGGAGCTATTTACACCCACAACAAACCGCCTAAACTTACCAAAGAAAATCCAACTGAATTGCAACTGGGCCAAGTAAATGCAAGTCTCGGGGCGGGTTAACACCCACTAGAGCCCCGAAATTTAGCTTTACGGTCTCGGGCTTTAATACCTACGATTCACGGGCTTAACATGCCGGTTAAGAGGATTCTCGTGAAGGGCTCTTGGGTCTTTCTGTTCATGGGATCTGTGCTTTGTAGGACATGGGGTACCTGGGGATTCAGGGTTCAGCTTGGATGTTAAACTAGACCTAAGAGCAACCTGGGAATAAAAAGGGTGCCCTTTTTGGTTTAAAGGGGTTCATAAGGGAACCTAAGCCTCAAAAAAGGGAATAAGGGCCTACTCTGGGTCCTAGTAAAAGGCCTGGGAGTTGGGCTTAAACGATTCGGGATTGGGGTTTAGGGTTGTTTTGGGTGCTAAGGTTCTTCAGGACTCTAGAGGATCGGACTTAGGATTTAATATGTAGTGTTTAGGCATACGCAGCACGATGTTAGATTCCTAAACCTAAACCTTGAACAATCAGTAGCACAAGCCCGGGGTCCTTTTTATGTGTGAAACACGTCCTGCAGAAGCACCTAAAGATGTCGCATCTCCCCAACGTCTCTCCCTTGACAAAGCAAGCAAAGTTCAACCCTTCTACTGAACACAAAACCCTCAATTCCCTCAAGCCCCAGACGAAAGCCAAAGCCCACAAAGCATTTAAAGTTGTACCATTGATTATGGCAGCAACCAGCGGGCGGTCTGGGAAAGTCCCAGCCCTTAAACAAGCTTCCACATCAAGAAATGCTTGAAGCTGCAAATACCCCATGCATTTATACATCCCTATACCCCAAACCGTAAAGGATTGGGTGTTGGGTTTTGGGGCTAGCGTTTTCAGTTGAACCCCTGAGAAATGGATACCGAAACCTTAACCCTCAAGGAAAGTTTGGGTTCGGGAGGTTGGAGCCTTAATGATTAGAAGAGGGCTTGTGAGATCTTTACGGCCCATAAGAGGATATGCATATATATATATATACATACATACATATACATACATACACACATTTGTTTCAATCCTTATTCTGAACGCCATAGTCTCACTTGGCGTCCCCGAAGAGACTCCAATTTCCTTGTCAGGGTTCCTTGAGGGGTTCTAGAGAAATGTTCCAGGGCTTGGAAGGTTTACTACAGGGTTCTATAGTGTCCATGTGTCTATATGGTATCTGCGTTCCGTAGAGGGGGGAGGGGGGGAAGGCACAGCGCAGCGCACAACCATACATATACATACATATATATGTAGCAAATGTGGACATACACCTACACACCATTATTGTTGTCTTCCAGGCATACTTTATCTTTATTGAAAGGGGTTGCGGGCCTCCCTGGACTCGAATCCTACTTGGAGGGTCATGGGACTTAGTAAGTATATAAGTACCTTAATTTGGGTTATAAGTATAGTTACCCTAATTATAACCCTAGTTACTAAGTCCCCTGATCCTTTAAGTACTCCGCAACCGCACCTCTGCGCCATCCGGAAAGCGAACGCGGATCTTCCCCTCTGCATCCGGGGCAGACTCGGCCTCGGGTTCCCAAAGAGCCCAATTTAGGGTTTAGGGTTTAGGGTTTGGGGTTTGGGGTTTAGGGTTTAGGGTTAATTATTAATTAAGGAGTATGACGTAGATCGTAAGAAAAGCCCCTGAGAATTTCAGGCAATATTCCTGCTTCAAAGGGTATTGGGCTCGCTGTGGGGACATACCCACGAAGTAAGGACTTGAGAAGTTGAGATACCCTAAGGCCCCAAAGTAGTTCCTTTTTGGGACTACCTTATAGGATTCTATATACGGAACCCCAAAAGGAACCACTTTGGGGCCTTAGGGTAGTCTTGTGGGTTAGTATTTTGGGGAGTACGTGGTAGGATTCGTGGTAAGGATGGAGGGCTTGGGGAGGGGGGGGGGTTTGGGGGGAGGTTCCACATCACTGGTCTGGGTTGCGGCTTTCAGTGAAGCCCCAATAGCCAATTCCCAGCAGCAACACCCCAACCCTGAACAATTTAGAGCCCTAGGAGCCTCACCGCAACTTTATGTCGCCCTTGCAGCCTTTCGGAAAAAGAGGTTTGAGAGTTGACATACCCATGCCAAAAGCTTAGAGCCCGAATTGCCGACATGGCTCAGGGCGCAGTTAGGAGTCCTAATTCTAGGGTTTCGTATTTAAGACGTAGCTTAGGGTTCGAGGGTTCCGCATTCTAAAGGGCTTTGCTTGAATTACGACATATCGGGCACTAAACGGAAAAGTGAAATTGGCCCGAGGCCGCCGCAACAGCCCGTCGCGAGGCACCCTCGAAGCGTACGATTTGTTTAGGGCGTTGCTCAGGTTGTCAAGTATATGCCCATGAAAAACGCACTATTGCCACAAGGGTGTTGCGTGGGTGAATAAGAAGCCGAACTTAGGCTCGGGGGCTTAATAATTGGAACAGGGTCTGAAGGAAACCATCTACATGAATCTAAATAGAATAAAGACCCGAACAAGCAATCAATCAATATAGTGCGCTATAAAATATCCTATACAAATATGAATAAAAACTCATCTGTAATATACATATTGTAATATGTTACATGACAAATGTAATGTGTATATATATATATATATATATATATGTATACATATGTTGGAACCCTTACAAACAACATCGGTAATTATTCGGCTCTAAACCCTGAAACCACATTTCCTAAACTCTAGTTAAATGGTTCAGGCTTCATATTACGGCGATCGAGCCGAGGCGCTTTGGATTTAGGGCTCAGGGCCCTAAATTCAAAGCAACCCCGAAAAAGCTACAACCCTCCGAAATAGAACTTGCCTACAGACTCATGATCCTTCAAGTCACATTGCTGCAGTCTCCCAGCTGGCCTCCCAGCGCACACGGACCTGCCGGCCTCCAAGATCAGACTGGGTTTGGCGTTTAGATTCTAAATCTTGAAATTACGGGCGCAAATGGTCTGCAGAGCCAGGGTATGTGAGATTTAGGGCTTAAGTTTCCCCTGTCTGCGGCACCTCATGACCTTCGGCTGTCCCACTCCGTGTGACTGAAAGACTGGTTGTTGCTACATCATTATGGAACCGCTATGCCGGCACAACCTAGTTTAGATATGATCTGACCCTCTGGCCTGCGGTCTGCAGGTTACACCTAAAACATCCTCGAAGCAACGCATGGTCCGTAAACCCCAACGAATCCGAAACCTACTGGTAAACCCTTAACCCAAACACCTAAGTCCTAGACCAAGCACTGGCAGGCTCGTCTCGGCCTTTAAACAGGCTCGTTCTTCAGGGTTTCGGTTTGGGGGGTTTTGGGGCTCCTGGGCCCTTAATCCTTTCCTTGAGCCGTCGAAGGCCATAGCTGAAAGCTCTGACGGAGGCACTTCTCTTAGGCTGTTCAAGGTCCGGTTCTTTTTGAACGCCTCGAACCTATACATGAAGGACTGAACCTCTAAAACCTCAGAACTCTCAGGAAAAGTTCTCCGACGCAAGACCCAAAACGCGAAGTCGGAAGTGCCAAGTCGCAGAAACCCGACCCCTTGCCAAACCAAACTTGGAGTATATGATACGCTGTATTTAAACAATAAAGCACACCCTCAAGAATTCGCAGTATTCGTTGAGCCTTTAAGTATTACGTAGGTTTAGGCTTTAGGGTCAGAGGGTTTAAGGCTTCAAAAGCCTGTTGTCATCCGGGCCTGCCAACGTTTGTATTGTATCCAAGGGTAAAAGGAGGGACCCTTAATAAGGACCCCTAGGTATATACCCTTAATATAGCCATTATATACCCATTATGTAGCCCATTACAGGCTAAGGGTACTCCCTCCTTTTCCCCTTTGATTGTAAACCGTGTTAGTGTTCCCTAAGGCCCCAAAGTGTTTCTTTTTGGGGGCTCGTATATAGAATCCTATAAAGAAACCCCCAAAAGGAACTACTTTGGGGCCTTAGGGTTGATGAGGTCTTCGGAGTAGCGGGGCTTTTGGAGGGTGGCTTTCGGCATAAGGGGCTGATTGTGATGGGGTGAGGTGTTCGGGGGCTTGGACTTTCGTTGTCTTAACTTCACCAAGAAACTTATCTACAAGTTCTCTATTTGAAAGATCATGAGACTCAACATGCAGGATACCGTTGGCTTTTATGGCAATTTGCAAGATTCTTGGACACAGCAAGGAGGGAATGGGATGCTCGTAGCCTGATTCGGGTACTGTGCTTATCACCCTACACATAATCTATTTACTACGCTCCATGGTCCTTCAAGTAGGCCGTTTAGGAATTTAAGGTTTGGGGGCGGATGAACCTCGCTGTAATATTGCCTGAGGAGCGTATGCTTTGCTGCTTCGCGCTGACGGAAGCTCATGGTTCAGAGACCAAGAACTGCGATTTAGGTCTAATGTCGAAATCTGTAAGCAAATTGTTCGTAAGGCGTTCAGGGTTCCGGGTTTACATGCTATGAAATACGTCTTATCTCTTAAGGGTTTCTACTGTTGAACTGCGAAAAGCATACGGGCCTTCGCTGACCATGCTGCCGGCAGCGCAGGGGAGCAAAAGACTACTACACGTGGGCTCTAGGATACCCTTTCCCAACCCCTGGTTCGTGTGAGCTATAACGCTAGGGTTTGAGGTTCTTCCCTGCCTTATGGCTACTTGTTACTTGTAGTTATCCAAAACATCCCTGAAATTCAGAATGTGACCTTCGGACAGAAGAATGGTGCATGGGCCAAACCTTCCCAGACTTTTGCACCAAGGGATGCTTGCTGAGTGAAGCCGACAGCCCTGTGAAAAGGATTGAGAACCTTAGTCCCGCCAATTTTCTGCGCATGTCTTGCCATGTGCTGCCAAACGCTGCGGGCCAAACGCATTGCGCATCCAATATGGCAACCACCCCCCCTAAACCCTAAACCCTAAACTGGACCCTACACACAGTACTATACTATACCTCCTCATGGTGAACTGTGAGCCCTCTAAGCCTCGGACCCACCATCCACAATGTAGGGGCCTTAATAATTGCCTATACTACTTGGGGGGGGGGGGTTCTTATTTTCATTGTAGTATAATGGGCCCCAAAACCCTATTCTAATTACTCAGGCCCCTAGATTACAAGAATGATTTCCAGAAGAAACAGAGCAACTTAAAACCCTTAAAACTCAGAGATCCGAACATCGACGGCCCAGGGGCGGCGGACCTTTCTGTCGTTCGAACATCTCCACCAGTGACCTCAGTCGAGGGTGTCCTATGAGAAAGCTTCTTGAAGGATTTCGCAGGCCGTGCGAAAAACGCTTCCTGCCGTCATGGCGACCATGATGGTGATTATTGCGACGACTACCGCCAATACATCATAAGATGACCATAACTTACTACAGCCACAAGAGTGTGTCACTAGTGCATGTAATTTGTTGGGAGTCCTTCTCTGAATTTGCACCCGCCTCATTCGTGTTGCGCTCTTCTGGTTTCAAAGTTTGGGTTTAGGACGCAATTATAGAAAACAATCTTTGTGTGAGAGCCAGACCCACCAGCTAATATGTGGTTTGGGCTTGGGGCGGAAAGGCCCCTCTAAACTGACACGTTAAACATACCCTCCTAGAAGCCCAAAACCCCTGAACCCAAAACGCTGAACCCTCGTTTCTGCGGGTTCTGTATGGGTGTTTGTCAAAATTAGGGTCCCTTTTTGGATATTACGTGCCGTACTACAGTAGGGACCCAAAAAGGGACCCTATTTTGACAACCACCCATGTCTGATCTGCAGAATTTAGAAAGGAATCGAAAATCACCCGAGGACAAGGGGAAGTCTGAGCTCCCTTGGTGAAGGTTGAATACTTAAAGGATCATGGCACTTAGTAACTAGGGTTATAATTAAAAACCCAATAACCTTACTTACTAAGCCCCATGATCCGCCAAGTATACTACATATTGCATTTTATATAACTTATGTATTTCATATGATACTTGTTTACTGAGTATTATAACGTTGCTAGATACATCCCACACTGCATAATAGTTATCCATAATTCACCTTGTATATTCTGCTAGAAGAGCAGACATAGGCAGAAGCAATGAAAGCACGGCTGGAAAGTATCTAGTGAACTAACAACTCCCGACAGCTGGGTTCGCAAGCTCAAACAGAAATCAAACCCTGAACCCTGCAAAAAAGCTAAGATTAGACAAACGTGTTCGGTGTGGTTCTTGTCTTGGTCGAAGTGTAGGGCGCACCTACCAAGGTGCCACTATCATAAATACATGCGGGGTCCATGAGAGGGCGCGTCGGGGTCCCCAGAAACCCTCCACCGTGCTGCAAACCCCAAGCCCTATGCACCAGGACAGAAAACAGAGCATACCTACTCCACAACACCCGAAAAGCTCGAATAGGGGAGCCTCAGCAATTCGAACTCCGCTACTGTTGATGATATAAATCCTGCACGACTTTAAGAACCCTAAGCTAGGGGAATAATGGTAAACCCTAAACCCTAAACCCAAATCCCTAAACCCCTAAACCCTAAACCGCGGTTTCGGGGGTCTCGTTATCAGTTGTTTTCAAGAGCCCTATATGGACACGATGGGACTAAGGGCCCCTTCTTGTATTGACCCCTAAACCCCAAACCATACCTTAAAGGATCACGGGACTTAGTAACTAGGGTTATAATTAGGGTAACTATACTTATAACGCCAATTAAGGTACTTTACTTATAACCCCAAGCCATAACTAGTTCATGGCTGGGATAGGATTAAAAACATCGAACTTTTATTCCTTATAATTATTGGGTTCAAGTACCCATGAAAAAGTAAGATGTTGCCCAACTATGACAGACATAAAGCCTCAAACCGTAACTGTCTGGTGCTTAGGAGGGAATGGGGGAGTGGATCCCTATGACAGTCCCCCAAGGGTCCCGTAGAGGAGCCCCTATAATCCATTCCCCCATTCCCTACTAAGAACTAGACAGATAGAGCCTCAACCCCTAAACCCTAAACCCTGAAACCCCGGTTCCCTGAAAGTACCCTTATGGATCCCATTAAAGGTTCCCTGATAGTACCCTTAGGAATCCCTTTAAAGCACCCCCCCGAAAAACCACCCCTAAAACCCCTCGAAACCCGAGAGAAGGCCCGGGCTTTCGAGTTTCTCGCCCTTCTTCCAGACCACCGGCGTGCGGATGGGAAAGTAAATGGGAAACCTCGGGTTTAGGGTTTAGGGGTTTAGGGGTTCCTTATACGAATCCTACTATTTTGGGGGGGTTATAGGTAAATGGGAAACCTCGGGTTTAGGGGCTTCGGGTTTAGTTTTTTTTCTTTTTTTGGGGGGGGGGGGGGGGGGGGCTTAGGGTTTAGGGGGTTCAGGGCTTCCTTATAATTATATGAATCCTACTATTAGGGGTATATAGGTAAATGGGAAACCTCAAGCCAGCGCATATTTTGGGCTCAGGGTTTAGAGTTTGCGGGTGTAGGGTTTAGGTTCGGGGGTTCCTTTGAAGGTTCTATCGTGTTTAAAGGTTGATCAAGGGCTTCTAGAAGAAAAAAAATTCGGGGTTTGATGCAGGTGTCGGCTAGGAGCCTAACCCTGCTCGTCAGTTCAAAGGACGCCTGTGGAATGGGAATTTCGAATCAGCGTTTAAAGGCCCAGACTTGGGGGGACCCTGCTGAGGCTCTGTTAGGTGTTGTGCTGACAAGCCCTCAGACCATAAAGTGTATGGCTAGGTTCCTGAGTAGCCCCATTAGAATAAGGGTACCCCTTTTCCTACTACTCTGTTTTAATAAGGGGCCCCTAAAACAAAAAGGGGGGGTACCACTCACGAACCTAGATGGGAGTTTCCGAAGATAGGGGAGCCTAATATAGTACCTTAAATAGCAGGATCCTTACAACAAGGACCCCCAAATAAGGTACCCCAAATTTTCGGAAACTCCCAGATGGTGAAAGGGTGATCGGAGCGAGCAGAAGATCCTCAACAATCTGAAAGTCAAAAGCGAACATATGGGAGTTTCCGAAAATGAGGGGTACCTGATTTTGGGGTCCTTATAATAAGGATCCTCTATGCAGGGTACTATATAGAGGTCCCTATTGTCGGAAACCCACATAGTAGATATTTCTGGTATTTCTGATCCAGGCCAGGGTCAAGTTGACTTTTGCACACTTTGCTGCTTCGCCTTTCATTGTCCTTCAGGTCTGCGCAGCTCCATGGATTTTCTCCGGAAGGCGCAGGGCGAATGAACCCTAAATGCTGAAGTTGAAGTTTTGGGATTTTGACGGCTTTTGGGTGCAAGGGGTTTTGGGAGCTCTAGAGGGATCAGGGGCTCAGGGTTTTAAGTTGATTTGGCGTTGGGGCTTAAGTTTAAAGTTTAGGGTTTGGCTGTTGAAGTTTTAAGTTTGGGCCAGGTTTGGAACTCAGGCAGGGGCCAGGAAAACATGCCTTCCGAGTAGGACTCCGGATTGATGGACACGCTGAGGCCTGCAAGCAGTCCAGGCGTTCAAGCTTCTACCCACAGGCTCCGTAGTAGTTCCTTTTTGGGATTACCTTATAGGATTCTAAATATGAACCCCAAAAAGGAACTATATGGTGCCTCTAGGTATGATGAAGGTTCTATAGGTTTGCCGAGGTTTAGGGTTAAGGGCATAGAACAGTAGTGCGGCGCTACGTTCAGGCCGATCTCCCCAAATCCCTGCTACCAAAGTTGCAAACCGGGACAAACAAGAAACAGGGCGGTGGTTTGGCCCAAAGCAGATCCTGAACCTACAACCTCCAAACCTGAAACTTCAAACCGAAACCCTAAATCTAAAATCATAACTTAGGAACCTGATTAAGAAACCCGGTGCCTATAACCCCAAAATAGTAGGATTCATGTAAGGAGCCCTAATAAACGCACAAGGTTTCTCAATCAGGTTCCTACATTAGACCTTCACTCCAAAACCCAAACCCCAAACGGTGAAACAGGGTTCAGAATGGGCGGTGCAGGGCTTCAGGGCGCGAATAACCCAGCCGTTCGATTTCAGCGCTGGGCTGTCGAGAAAGGGTGCGGCGGTAAGGTCTCAGGCTTTGGCGTATGGTAGGCTTTTTCGGACTCAGCTTCTGCCATGCCGTGCTAGGTTCCATGTCTTTGCGGTTGAGAGGTAGCTCACCGAAGCTGAGCACTACTATAGGGGCCTTAATCATTAGAATAGGGTTTGGAGGTATATTATACTATACTTACAATAAGGAAGCCCCCGCAGTAGTATTGGCAACTATTTAGGCCCCTATGGTACGTCCCGACGACCCTGCGGGAACCCGTAAAAACCAAAGGCCCGCAACACCAAAATTTCGAGCACCTCAAGACCACAAACCGTACGGCAAAACCTCGAAGCCCAAACTACGCCCAGAGCGGGAAAGCTTTAGGAGATGCAGAAGTCTGTCTGGTCACAAATGCCATGGCACACGGGAGTGAAAATAGTGGACCCTAATATAGCACCCCAAATACTAGGATCCTTTTCAAAAGGGCCCCAAAACAAGATACACCTAGTTTTCGGAAACTAGGACCCTAATATAGTTGGACCCCTCTAGTTT